TATAAGATATTATCAGCAACGCTAATTTAAATATACATGGAAAGCTGTATGTTGTATGAATAGAGCCTAAACACTTAAAAGCCAGCATTATGAGAAGATATTCAGCCACAGAGTTGTTACTCATTCTCAAGTCAATAAAACTAATCTATGCCCCTATTAGTCAGAATGACTGAAGCATGTGTTTTTGTTATAAAAAGTTTCAGGATGCTTTTTGGAATTGAAAAAAACTCATTCTGTCTCAGTTATGTAAGTGCTGCCTGCTCCGGGGATTACTTTTAAATCCATGCATTTTATGCATGACTATTAGATATGACAAAAAGAAAGTGACAAAAGAAGTGCTTCCTAGCAATTGGGTCACAGATACAAAGCTTCTGTGAGTTAGTATTTGAGGATGTGGTTGGTAAATTATGAAAATACTTATGGAAAGCTTTTCTATGACTTAGAGACTATGTAAAAGCTTACTAGGCAACTCAGATCCCATTGGGGTACAGTATTTTTTAAAAAACAAAATTATACAATAATAGCCAAGTGTAAACCAAATGCTTTGATTCTTTAACATTTCATAATTTAACTCAATATATTCAAAAGAAAACTATATTGATACAGTATCATACAGTAATGTTCTTAGCATTTACACTTTATAAGAGTTACCCTACATCATCTCCATGTGGAAGATTCTAATTTCTGACCAGTTTAACCCAAGTTTGGAAATTTATTAAACATTTACCTGTTTTCAGGACTTTTTAACTGTTTTCAGTTGTTAAAAGGGATATGCAAAGGATTTGCTTTTTAAGTGAACAATTCTACTAGTATAACTACTACAAACTGGTTTTGCTACAAGCACATCACTAGTGTGCATCTAGTACCCAAAGAGGTAAGCAGAATTAAAAGCAGAAAACTTTTACAAGTTAAGAAACAAACCAAGAAACCAACCACATGCACACACAGATGAGGGAGAAGTACTTTTACAGTCTCCATCTGGGAATCTCTGTGCTTGTATCTCTACAGCTTGATATATGAATACCTTCTACTACAGTTTCCTAGGAAAACTGCAGTGTAAAGTTAATCATGTCCTCAGTGACCCTGGGGAAAAATCCCTGCTGTCAGAAATTTACCTTTTTGGGTGGATGAATGACTGCAGAGTTAATGCTTAATTTCAATTAGCTGTATCTATTTAAAGTCCCTGTTAAAACATGAGATTCGGGTTTTATACTTAATATAACAGAGTAATTGTTGTGTCAAGTGAAGGGTAAATTTGGTGAGGGATAAATCTGATAAGAGATAAATCCACTTGTGCTCTAGCCAGTCCTCAGAGATTAGAGGGGGTAGGGGTGGCTGGACCTACCTTTTGATAGGTATGCCAGTTATTGCCATGGCTCCAGGTCCGACACCAGACGCACCACCAGCCTGTTGCTATAGGTCAGGTTGTGTTCAAAAGCAGCCATCGGGGGCGTGGATAGCACGGTTTATTTCACATCCAGCATACAGATTCCTTAAGATTGCCAGTGATCAAGGCATTAAGCTGCAGACTAGCTCCACAGCTCGAAAAGGCAACTGCCAGTACAATAATACTATCCTGGGGAAAAAGCACACTCGGTGTAGCAAGGCCACAGATCTTACCAAGAGATCTTACCCTTCTGGGGCAGGGTGAGAACAACACCCATCAATCTGTCCTCAGGACTTGGGGCCAAATTCTGGTCCCACAGGTTGGGTTCAAAATCTGGCTAACATTTATACATTGTTATCTACTATTGTGCAAAGTGTGGGGGTGGGGCTGTAGTCAAACCATTGTCAGTTGGTCTTTTCAGTTGCACAAATACTGGTGACTTCTGCCAGAGGCAGGTAGCTGCTGGGAGGGAGGGCTCACCCCTGGCCCCAGTCCACATTCCTCCTTGTGCCATCCTCAGACTGCCAGGTCTGCACCCAGCCTCCTGTCTGCCCCAGCTGCCAGGTGCCCGGCAGCAGTAAAGGGCTTTGCTGTTTTCAACTGTGGGTGCCTCCTGCTTTCAACAATAATGTTTTGCGCTGTTTTAGAATTTTAAGAAGTCTTCCAGACCCCAGCGTTTAGATTTTCAATATTTATTATGAATCACATTCACAGTGCCATACAAATTACATACAAAGCAATACAACAGACATACAAAGACTACACAAAGCACGTACCATTCTGTAATGCATACGACACCTGATGCTTAGGCTAGAAGTGTTCCTAACACCTGTTAGCAAGAAATCGAAGTCAAAAGATAAATAATTGGATTGAATAACTCCTTCATTATTTAGTTTTTCTCTTTTTTAAATTAAAAACTCTGTTGGTAAGCAGGCTGTCAATAAAGGGGAAAAAAAAAAAAAAAGCAGCAGCAACACTGCTTTCCCAGCATGTAGAAAAGTTTTTCCACTGTTTCAAACCTAGATTAATTTTCAGTTAATCATCCTGTCCCCCAGCAAAATAGTCACAAAAATCAATTCAGCACATTGTCTCCAGATCACATTGACGATACAGAAAATAAACTATAAACACAAATCTAATCATGTGTCAACATGTAAGTTTGGAAATACCATATGTAAAAATTCAGAGACCAAGATGGTCCAATAAATGCACTGCTTAGATAAATTACACAGTGACAGCTCTGAAATACATTACACAATTTTAATGTACTGTGCACACCAGTACTTACTGTACTATACTGTACTATACTTACTGTATGTGTCTAGAATAATTCCTGCAAATTTTCATCAGTTGTGCTAGTACTTTGGAGATGGATTAAAGATTTTTAGCTCTTTTCACAGCCTCTCCTCACACATATAAAAAAAAAAAAATCCCAGCTGGCTAAGTGCAGATAAGTGGTAATTTCCACTACCAGTCAGATTCTGGTGGCAGTTTTATTGCCTTCAGTACACCAATGGTTTAGAGTCTTCAGGAGAAGTCACTTTTCTTCCTTATTTAATCTATACCTAACTTTAACAAGAGGTCTTAAAGACATATTTTGAATGTATAGTTTAAATTAAGGACAAGCATTTGCCTAATTAGCAACAAAATGACAGCTCAGAATGTCTCTTGGGCATGACAGAATTACAAATTTCAGGAGAACATATTCTTGCATGTGCCAATACTCAAAAATTAAAGATAAGTGTTTTTAGCCATCCAATTTTGGAGCTCCAGCATGGTGAAACTGGTGAATTGAGGCTCATTTTCATTTCAGATGCACAGGATCTTCCCTTCTGACAGGTGACCATAATGAGAAAATTATTGCTTTAGCACCTCAACACAGCCCCAGTCCATTCAACAGGTTGTAAAGGCTACATCAACTGGCAAGCCACAAATTTAATTCAGAAATTTGGTTTTGTGCATCTGCGCACACAATCTGTTCAAGTATTACAGAGGGCTTGTAAACCTGGACATAAGCTGCAAGTTCGTGTAGAAAAATCAGTAAGGATGTAATACACAAAAATAAATCAATTATGTATTTAATATGCACATAGATTTGCATTCTAATAGGCACAACATAGCAAAAAGCATCCTTACTGATCACTATTCAAATGCATCTCCCAAAATGCTAGTAGTATTTCTATGGTCTGTTTTTAGAATTAATCCAAAATAAACCCTACAGCAGTGTGTAGTACTTCACACAAAATTTTTGGTACTACTGCTAACTGTAAAACCCTTCTTCTGGGGTCTAGCAAGGAAGAGCCTTTTCAATGCCATCACAGCTCTCCTCTGATTCCTGGTTGCTTTGTGTCCCTTCTAGCAAACAACAGTGGTGCCAGAGGCTTACTGCCCCAAGTCCAGAGGAGCCTCATGTATATTCCATACATAACTTGGGAATATGGGAGGCAGCTGTATTGCCAGAGACCCTGAGCTGACCTTAAGAGCATCTTTAGCAGAGCACCCACACTCGGAGTTCACCTCAGAGCAGAAGAGCCTGGTGGGTGCTCACTTTCTGGAATGGTGTCATGGCAACGCTCAGCAAAAACGCTGCTGCAAACAACTTTATTCAAAAAAGTTGCTGAAGGAGAGTCAAAGAATCACAGAATGTTTGGGGGTGGAAGGGGTCTCTGGGGATCATCTAGTCCAATCCCCTGCCCAAACAGTTTCGCCTAGAGCAGGTGGCACAGGAATGTGTCCAGGCAGGTTTTTAATACCTCTAGAAAAGGAGGCTCCACAACCTCTCTGGGCAGCCTGTTCCAGTGCTCCGTCACCCTCACTGTAAAGAAGTTTTTCCTGATGTTCAGATGGAACTTCCCATGTTCCAGTTTGTGCCCACTGTCCCTTGTCCTATCACTGGGCACCACTGAAAAGTCTGGCCCCATCCCCTTGACACCTGCCCTTTAGATATTTATAAACATTGATGAGATCCCCTCTCAGTCTTCTCCAGGCTATACAGCCCCAGGTCTCTCAGCCTTTCCTGGTGAGAGAGATGCTCCTGTCCCCTAATCATCTTTTCAGCCCTCCTCTAGACTCTCTCCAGCAGTCCCCTGTCTCTCTTGAACTGGGGAGCCCAGAACTGGATGCAGAACTCCAGATGTGGCCTCACTGGGGCAGAGAAGATGGGAAGAACCTCCCTCGACCTGCTGGTCACGCTCTTCTTAACACACACCCAGAATAAGCCAGGTGTAAATTTGGTAAGTCACACACTGCTTTGGAAAGCGTGTTACAATCTCAGACCAGGCTTTCAGAGAGTCAATGACTACAGCTTCCTCCCTGGCCCCCAGAGAAGACAAATTTGAACAGTGAGTTTCACATAAATGCACTTTCTAAACAGTGCGTCTGAGTTAAAGATAACTACTACAGCATCAAATTTGGACCAGCATTTCACTTTTCAAATATATTTTACCATAACATGTGAACAAGAAATATTCAAGTGACAATAGAACTTTATAAATCACTGTAAAAAAATTAGTAGAAAACCTCCATTGTTTCTGGAGTTGAAATGTAAGTTTCCAATACAATGCATGTGGGGAGCTCCAGTTCAGGTAATATGGTATTAAAATATTAAAAACACCAATAGCTTTAGAAAAGGGATATATGAGAAATACAAAACCAAATGAAAAAGATTCTCAGATACTACTGCAAAATTCAAGCCAAGCGACACCCAGGTGCTGAGACAAACCGTACACGAACACCTTCATGTGGAACTTCACATCCCCATCTGCATGTCGGCGAAGTTGTAGAAATTGTCTACATCTTGAGATGCTGTTGCCTTGCTCTCCGATACAAAAACCTGGTTAATTAAACAAGGAAACGGTTGCACATCATTAATGAAGAAGTTCACGTAGTATTTGCTTATTTGGAGCCAACAATGGCTATTTTTATTTTTGCATTTTGTGAGAGGCACAATTCTGTTGGTTTCCACTGCATGGCAGAACCAGCCCTAGAATTCTCTCAGCCCTGATGCACCCTTTGTTACCATCCCCTGTTCCTAGCAGACATGCTAGCTGCAGTAAACCCCAGCCTTCCACTGATGGGAATTAAAAGTTTGGGGCTCAATTATTCAGTGGTCACAGCTTCAGCTAACATCCATTTAGATGTATTTTGCTTGGTAAAGTCAAACTGTGTCCAAGAGAGGAGAAAACAAACACACAAAAACCTTAGGCTACCATTGAGCTTTCCTTTTAACAGAAAGGCAGAGTGTGCAAGAAAGACTCCCTTGCACTATATTCCCCTCAAAAAACTTAGTTGCCTTTTTTTTTTTACTTGATAACTTAATTACATTTGCATTTCTGCAAAAGTGATCAGCGCATGTGAAAGTCTAAGCTCTAAGACAGTCTTCTTCGAAAGCTTTCAGGAAATCAACTACAAATGCCTTAGGCAATGCCCAAATAGTTCAGTGTAAGGGGGAGTGTTGTGGCTGTTCATCAGCGTGCAACTGATAGCCTCCAGCAAGAACTTAAACGGAGTTCTTACTATCCTATATTTTCTATACCTCAAGAAGAAATCATCTATGTCTCAGCACATCAGTGCTGGCACAGCCAGCTGAGCTTTCCTGAAGTGTACAGGGAGTGTAGGAATGGGTTATTCCAGGTGACTATGCTCCTATTGTCACCACTTTTCTGCTGTAGCTCACAACACTGCATGAATCTAAACTATGGGAGTTCCTTGAACGGGTTTAATTAAACTATGGTTTAAGATTAATATCCCGTTGTCCAGTAAATTTCAATTTAAAAAAAAAAGATTTTATTGGCACAAAGCAAGTAGTTGCCTGGACACACAGTAGACTTCTGTTTTAAGAGACCTGAGAGTATCTGCTAATTATTTGGCAGTTTTTTGGTGGAACAGCGATGGGTACCAAGGTCACAACATACCTTCTTTCAGCATCCTTCCCTACCAGGATATTACAATTTACATTTTGCAGAGTAGTTTATGGATAAATGATGAGACAGAGAAACAATGCTAGAAAACACACCAAGAAAGTGCAGAAGGTCACACCAGAAAGCATGACAGAGGTAAAGGATGTAGAAGTACCTAGTCCACACAAATAGAAAGTCTGCTCAAGTGCACAGCATTGAGCACTCCTTGTAACACCAAGGAGTCTTGTTTCTACCAAACGGCTCAAAAAACCTCTGGTGATGCTATTACTGAAGAACTTTTCTACCCTGTTTAGAGTATCTAGACCTGTTTATCTAATTTATTTCAGAAACAAAAACCTGGTGAAATTAAGGTTATTAACAAATTAATGTAATCATAGAATCACAGAATGCTTTGGGTTGGAAGAGATCTTAAATCTTGTTCTAACCCACCTCCCATGGACAGGGACACTGTCATAGTTACAGGGGCTGGGATCAGTTTATCATTATGTGGGTAGAACCAAAACCTGTGTATTCTATACTCTCTATGTCATTGCTCATGGGCTGTTAACAAAATCATGAGTAGCAGCTGCCCAGGACAGACCTCACACCCCAGGCTACAACAGATAAGGAAAGAGGTCCGGGGAAGTGTTAACACCTTCCCACCCAGCAGGAGGAGTCCTCTCTGCTAACAGACCTTCATGGACCCAGCTGCACTGGCAATGGTCTAGCTCATCAAGGCCATATCCTACCATCAACAGAGCTAAAGACCCATTGAGAAACTCCCTGCCCTTGGGGGGAGGTACTGGACATTCCCACTGAACCTGCGGATATATAAGCTTCGAGTTTTGGGACTTGGGTAACCTCTTGTCGGATCCAGAGGGGGAACAGAACTCCAGCAGGACTGTGACTGCCACTCCTGGGGAGACTGCCATCATTCCTCCAACAGAACTGCAACCATCATCCTGACTGACAGGTTTCCTTCCCTTCTCACTGGGACTGCCACTCCTGGGGAGACTGCCATCATTCCTCCAACAGAACTGCAACCATCATCCTGACTGACAGGTTTCCTTCCCTTCTGCTTTGCACTCAGGGGAACCAGGCAGTGCTCAGCACAGGAGCTAACAGGCACCATGCTGTTCCTGCCCCAGGGTGCTGGGTTGGACTTTATCCTTGTGGGTCAAAGCCAGTATTTTTACCATGTATTGTTGTATATACTGTAATCCTTTTAGTAAACTGTAGCTCTGACTTGTGGTATCTCTAAATTAATTTCTCCCACCGGTTTGCTTTTAAACCAGCACAGATACCTTCCGCTAGACCAGGTTGCTCAAAGGCCCATCCAACCTGGCCTTGAACACTTGCAGGGATGGGGCATTCACAGCTTCTCTGGGAAACCCTTTCCAGTGTCTCAGAACCCTCACATCAAGTAATTTCTTCCTTATATCTAATCTAAATCTACCCTCTGTTTGAAACTGTTACCCCTTGTCCTATCACTACACTTCCTGATGGAGAGTCCCTCCCCATCTTCCCTGCAGGTTCCCTTTAAGTACTGGAAGGCTGCTATAAGGTCCCCCCAGAGCCTTCTCTTCTCCAGACCCCTGATGATCTTAATGGCTTCTCCTCTGGACTCACTTCAACAGGTCCATGTCCTTCTGATGTTTGGGACCTCAGAGCTGAACAAAGCACTTAATTTTTAACTGTAAAAAAAATGCCTAAAAGCATATTAATCTCCTGCAAAAACTTACAGGGTACATGTCCTCATAAGAGCTTCTGTCATTGTTTCTTGATCAAGGATACCTGTAATTCTTTCCAAGCAACTCTTGAACATAAGGGCAGCCAACAATGAGAGCATTCCTGAACTTTCTGGTAGTAGTAAGTCTGAAGTTTTTTTCTCCCTAAATTGCTTCAAAGTTATGTCCCAGAAAAGAAAAAGCATTTTCTAAAAAAAAGTACACTTACAATATTAAATTATCTAGGAATCCATGCACAAACCCAGTGTTTAACAGAAATTTTTGAGTTATGTATTATCTAAATGAAGACATACACTTCTCAGGAAGCCCAAAATTCTGCTTCGTAATTCAGTCCAGAAAATATTTAATTAGTGAGGTAGACTTTACTATGGAACCAGGGTGGAAATTTTTCAATACAGCAAGTAATTTCCCATTTGGAACTGAACTCAAACGCTCCAGATCACCTCCAAGAATAATGCTTACTTCACAGTGTGAAGTGCACACTCTGAAGTTTCTGGATGCATCTCAGATGAGGGCATTCAGATTGTTATAACAACAGATACTAGTCATTTTAGTGAAGAAAAACATAAAATTTTATCTGTTCTAATAATTCAGTCTTCAATTAGAACAAAGAACCAGAAGAACCAGTGAACTGGCTACCCAGCACCGACTTTGTTCTGTATGGAAAAAAAAAAAGCTAACCTCACTAAAAAAAAGCCACTGTAAGCTCCTGCTTAGAGGCCATTTTTATGGTAAAATTTGCTGGGATGACTCTTGGGTCATAAGAAGAACCAGTATTATCACAGCACTGCCTAGACTGTAGTTCTAGTACTATCGAGACTCATAGATGCAACTTAAGGCTCCCTACACATCAGGTTTTTTTTCTGGTGCAATACCAAACACACAAAAAAGCAAACATTAGCTGCATTTGAGAACTTACAAGATGACTGTTCTCCAGAAACTGGGCTGTCTAGTTCCAAAAAACTCTTTCAAAAGAAACTGAAAGACAGCAAGGATCTGTATGGACACTTCTTTCAGCAGGTGCTTAAAAGCAAAGGTTTTGTCATTTTCTTGTTATCAGGAGGAATGCTCTAATTGTTTCCAGAGAGTTTCTCAAAGCCATTGCAATTGAGAGAAAGGAGGACAGCAAGCAAAGAGGAGGTGTGGTGTAAGAAGCTACAGTAAAACCAGCCGACAGAAGAAAGTGGAAGAAGACGTATGAAGGAACGTGCTCTGCAATATCCTGCACAGTAAAAGTAAACCTTGGAAAAAGTTGAAATCCCACTCTATTATCTTTGTCAAGGTTTAATAGACTAGGACTATTCAGAAACCTAAAAAAATCATGCAGTATATCAGTGCTACAGCTCAACCATGCATTAGCCCGGACGTTCTGTACCATTTTCTGCCCATAAAGCAATACACCAGCTTACCTTGGTCCCACTGAAAACGTCATTTATAGTGCTTCGACATTCTTCCACGGCACCATCTCCATTGAACTCCAAAGCAACCACTGGACCTAGAAGACAGTTTCATCTAGAATCAATATTATTTTTAAGGCTGGCATTGAAACAGTAGATTTCTCAGCCCGTAGGGAAGTGCGAAGCTTGCAAGAAGCGTTTTATAGTTTTTGTTTGAGCAGCCATAACGTGGGGTAAAGAACTAAAAACACTTCACCATAGTTTCAAAGTACAGCGTTATCTGAGCAGAAAATATCTGCAATTCCATGCTCATTTTTACACCGATTCTGGCAGTATTCCAGTTTTACTTGTGGAAAGGCAGCAGTGGCACAAGAGTCGTGGAAGTGAGTCAGACACACTGCTCAGAGTGAGCCACTTCACAGACATCTGGAGGGCGCTGACTCATTCGGGTATTTCTGCCTCAGGCCCGAGATAGCAAACTGCCTGATTTTTAAACTTGTTCTCACTCACTGTTTGCAGATCCCCTTTCTCTGGTTTCATTCTGAACATGCTCTTTCTTCCCACATGGCTGCAAAATAGCCCTTAAACTAGACTGTCATCTGTGAAGTACAGTAACTTTTGACCTATTCTTGCAATGAGCATCACAGACCTCTTACATTACTATGAAAAAACCTACATGTTGCTGCTAAGTTTGGGAGTGTGTATTGAGCTTTAGCGTGTAACAGATGGCAACATATCAGTACTTCTGCAGAAAGAGACAAAAAGCAACTACAGTCAGATCAATAAAAAGTCTTTTGAAATACTCTGACAGTACACCAGTTATAAATTGGAATTTAACACTTGCCTGCTTTATACACATCTATATTGATTTGCTTAAATATCTATACAGAAATCCTGGACATCTAGGTGGTTGAGCAGCAATGGTGGTAAGCTAGAAACAGTCTAAAAGCACGAGGTTCTTTTGACCACCCGACAGATCTGCATGTGCCACTGCTCCTGAGCTACATGGTTGGACCACTAGAGGGGGGGCAGAGCCACAAAACGTGGAATAGCTAATTTGCGATGCCTTCAGGAGTTTTGGCTGGTTTAGGGCCTCATTGAGGCTTCCAAAATCCATCTCAACTGGCTTTTCACACTATTCCCTTGAAACACAAATTTCTCCTTCATGCCTCTTTCTTCTCCAGAACTCTCTAGTGACAGTTAGATTTCTATATCAAAAAAAGAAAGAAAGCAAGACAAACTCACCTTTTTCAAGCAGTGGAATGAATTCTGATGCACACTGCTGGAAAACTCTGCGAGCGTCCTCTTCCTTCATTAAGGCTTCTTTAGTCTGTACCAGCTGAAAGCCTTTACCAGTCATCTGTTAATAGAGAAAGAACTCATGTTAAAAATGCTTCTCAGGCAGAGTTCAGCTTGAGTATCCAGATTACACTAGAATAGATTCATTTTTCACATACACACTAATTCACAGAGCAAAGGGACCCTTTTTGCTATTTTCAAAGACCATTTCCTTTTTCTGCATTTCTGTTTATTTTCATTCCATCCATCCAGATTTTCTCCTCTGCCCTAGTCCACCTAGAGAGTGAAAGTGAATGTTTTTGTTTTATGTTATGGCCCAGGGTTGTGGGTTTTTCCTCCCCACACTTCCTCACAAGCTGAAACTAATGGGATTTAGAAGCATTGAGTATTTGGAGTCAAGCAGTTAGTTCTCATTAGCCTGCAATAGTTCAGTCAAGCGTTAGCTCAAACTCTCATCTATCCACTGCTGAATTTTTCCATTTTGGAAAAATAGCTACAAGCTTTTGAACACACACAGCCTTTTACTTCAAATCTAACAAAAAACTAAAAGCATGTGGAGGAGGAGCAAATGTATTTGTCCTTCCAAAGCACCCATTAATCTACAAGGCAGTAAGATTTCCACAGAATTCCACTGACTAGTCTTTTAGCATCTTCTTAACTCTAATTCCTAAAGAACTACTAGGAGAGGAGAACATATCTATGATCTTCTTTACTGTAACTATTCCTTCCTCAGGAAAAAAACAAAAAAAAACAAACAAAAAAAAACAACCCTTAAGTATCATTATCTCCCTTCTCCCACGTAGCTGTTGGTAATCCAGTTCCATAAAAATCCAGCTGGGCAAGGTGGTGGCGGGTGTGTGTGTGTGTGGCATGGATTTCCTCCTCACAGTTAAAAACCCAAGAGAAAGAGCTCCTTTGGTTGCTTTCTTGATCATAGAACATTGGATCAGCAGCTTTTATACATATTCTGCTCAGAATATGTAGCTCATAGTTATTGGCTCTGCTCTGTCATCCCTGGCACTCCAGGGTGCTACAAGCAACCAGCCACTCCCAGATTTTAGCCCCAGGAAAGCCCCAACTCAGCCACACTTGTGAGCTGCTGCCTCATAGGGAGGGGGGAAAAAAAAAACCAACAACAAAAAAACCCTCACAAAAACAAACCCCAAAACCCAGCATCAGCTATTTAAGTAATCGAAAACGGCTGACCAGGCATGACTAACACTCTGCCTCTTCCAGAAAAAAAAATTCCAAAACTGGGTGGCAGAGGGGATACTATTTAATATGTTACTTTTTTAAAGGCCCTGTTAGCACTGGAAAAAACTTTCAAGACAGCTTGTTTCGTTAGCTGTGACTTTTGGGGCTACAAGCTAACAAGTTAATTGGCTATATCCCTATTCCAAGCATTGCCAATAACTCCACATTTGGCCAAGTTCAAGGACAGATTTTCTTCAGAACATAGCTTTGGTGTGCCATGATGGAACAGTATGCTGGAACTACCAGAGGATAGATGTGTCAATCACAGGATGTCAGCTGTGGAACAATTACCTGACCAGATGAGCTCCAGCCTCTCACTTTGCTTTAAGTTTTTACACAATGCAGTTGATCAGTACGGTTAGTAGACAAGCTCCCTTCAGGCAGCACTAGGGGCTGTCCAGAGGAAATGTCAATTAGAAATTCAAAAAGTTGAGCAAAGACAAAGGTCTCTTACCTCATCAATTAACTTCCTGGCGTTTGCAGTTGTGTAGTCACCAGCAAAAAACACGGCCAAGCACGACTCGTCGCTGCTCTTCTGTCTCTGCCCTCGAGTTATCGGTATTATGCTCCTCGTAGCATCCGTAGAAATTCTGACAGCTTTCAGCTCCTCAGAGCTGGGCAGAGGAACATAATCTTGGACTACAGCATCCTCAGGCAAAAGGCCCCAGTTATTTTCTCCTGACACAGGGGTAAAGTCATGGATGTTGCTCCACGTGTTATTAAAGATACTCAGTCCAGCATCTTTAAATTGTAAAGCAAGCTCAGGATAATAGTACTGGAAACATCCGAATTTCATACCCGTGGAGGACTCGATAACGGGCTGGGTGGCACAGCACAAGAAGACCTCCAGCTTCTTGCAGTCCCGCGTGCGGAACTGTTGGCAGGCCACGATGCATCTGCAGTCCTTGCAGTCGCGGAAGAAGACGCTGCTTTTGACTGGCCCTAAGAAGATTCGGCAGTTTACACAGTCATCGATAGTGATTGTGGCAGAATGGTCAAAGATGTAGATACTACAGTTCTCACAGTCCTGAATGATGAATTGCTGGCCTGCTACTTTTCCAGGCAGTCGACCCACAGTTTCGTCTTTAAGTCCAGCAAAAGTGTAATCTTTGGGGTCAACCTGAAGGAGGACGAAAAAAAAGTGAAGGTCTTCACACACAGAGATTATGAAAATGATAAATGTCAACTGACTTGCATTAATTGAGGTAGCCACAAATTGTATCACAGAATGGCTTACATTGGAAAGGACCCTAGAGATCATCTAATCCAACCTCCCTGCCATGAGGCCTCTCAACTAGACCAGGTTGCTCAAGGGCTCATCCAACCTGGCTTTGAACACCTCCAGGAAGGGGCATCCACAGCCTCTCTAGGCAATCTAGTCCAGAGTCTCACCACCCTTGTACTGAAGAGCTTCATAAGATCTAGTCTAAACCTACTCTCCTTCCATTTAAAACCACTTCCCTTGCCCTGTCACTGCACACTCTTGTGAAAAGTCCCTCTCCAGCCTTCCTGTAGCTTCCTTACAGGTACTGGAAAGCAGTTACAAGATCCCCCCAGGGTCTTCTGTTCTCTAGGCTGAACAATCCAAGTGCCCTCAGCCTATCCTCATAGCAGAGATGCTGCAGGCTCTGGATCAACTTTGTGGCCCTCCACTGAACTTGTTCCAACAGATCTATGTCCCTTTTATGGTGGGGACACCAGAACTGGATGCAGTACGTGAGGTGGGGTCTCACAAGAGCAAACAGGGAGAATCACCTCTCTTGATCTGCTTGCCACCCCTCTCTTGATGCACCCTAGGATGCCGTTGGCCTTCTGGGCTGCACGAGCGCACTGCCAGATCATGTTGAGCTTCTTGTCAATCAACACCCCCAAGCACTTCTCTTCAGGGCTACTCTCAACCAGCTCTGCATCCCGTTTGTAATTGTGCCTGGGATTGCCCTGACCCAGGTGCAGGACCTTGCACTTGGCCTTGTTGAACCTCATGAGGTTGGCTTGTGCCCACCCCTCCAGCCTGTGCAGGTCCCTCTGGATGGCCTCCCTTCCCTCCAGCGTGTCAGCCACACCACACAGCTCGGTGTCACCAGCAAACTTGCTGAGGGTGCACTCAACGCCACCGTCCATGCTGCTGACAAAGATATCAAACAGCACTGGACCCAGAACAGACCCCTGGGGAACTCCACTTGTCACTGGTCTCCACATGGAATTCGAGCCATTGATCACAACTCTGAGTGTGACCATCTAGCCAGTTCCTTATCCACTGAGTGGTCCATCCATCAAGTCCATGCCTCTCCATCTTAGAGACAAGCATGTCATATGGGACGGTGTGTTGTACAGGATGAGCTGCTAGAAAGCTCTTCAAAGAGTGATGAAAGATCAGAAGTAGCTCTTTTAGCTTAAAAACTACTGGAAGACAAAGTACTGAAGTACAACAAAGAATTGAAACTACACTTCAGAGATGCTCCAGGAGAAAAACCCAACCCGAACTCACTTTGCCCTCCAGTAAAGAAAGGGGGCAGAGGGAACTAGTTTTTTCTGTGGACTCCAAACAGTTTCAACACAGATGATGGTCCTGCGTATTATCACGATAACTAATAAATTAATTGATCAACATCTTTAAAGAAGCATAAGGCTAGAGACAGAGAGTCTTTCTTATTTAAGTAGCTTTCTCAGTCATATTTTACCATACCCCAACACGTTGCAAGGAAACCTTGCAGCTTTCTGGCAGTACCTCCTTTATTATGTTTGTAAACTACAAAGAGCTTACTTCTCCTGTGCTCCAGCACTATCTTGTGCTAACAACCACGAGATTTTTGTGCTAACAGCTACATGATTGTTTCAGCTATGACCAACAAGCAAACATTGGCAGTGGTGGTGCAGGGGGCTCGCTGATAGATGTTTCCTCCTCCACACTCCAGCATTCCCCTGCCGGGGAGGGACACTTGAGAGAGGCTGTGGCTTTCCCCGGGACTCTCTGCTGGGTAGCAGTGACTGAAGAGCCACCCAGTGCCCAGGACAGTATGCAATACAGGTGGGCAGCATGAATAATATGTCCCATGCTGCTGTAAGACCAAAGGAATCTCGGCCAGCTCATTTCTTGAGTCTTGAGACAACTACAATTCCTGGCGCAAATTCTACTCTGCCCTCTTGTGAAAGCTTATTAAAATAGCACTTAGAAGTATACAAATACCTCAACCGGTCTAACACAAGACCACTTCACAAGATGTGCCATTTGATTATCAGCCTGAGGGCCCTGAAGTTTGCTGCACTGTAATCAGTGTTAAAGCATTACAGCAGTTCCTGTATAGCCCCATTTGTAACTTCTCCTCCCCAGCATTTCAAACATTCACATGAGATTTAGAGACCATAAAAAGGCATAAATCCAGATGACCTAGTGCCAGACATTCACTAAACCAGCTCAGCCTAGGTAGCTTCTATCCAGAACAGCTAATGAAAGCTAAAAGTCTCTACCAACCAATATGGCATACTCCTTTATATGTGACAGATGTGACCTCAGGACAAGAAAGGAGGTTTACAGCTGATGATCTCCCAAATAAAATTCAAGCTGAGGCAATGAAGATTGCTTACTAGAAGTCTCCCCTCAGTCATATTTAATACCACTAATACATAGCCAGGAAAGTTATTTGCAAGAGTTACAAATAAAATAGAGAGGCTCAGATGATAAGAGACACAGCTACATGGTATGGTTTGGATTCAAACCTTCTAAGGTCTTAAGTAGTGTTACACATTTGATCCCTGTATAAGATATTTATACTTATATTCTCTCATACTTGAGAATGTAAGTATGAAAATTGCTTTTGGATATGGTCTTCCCAGGCATCTCCAAAACATATTTATTTATATCTATGTTGGTTTGTTTGGGGTTTTTTAATAACCTTGGGAGACAGACTTAGTGCTTTCAAAACAGGGTAGGGAGGAACAGATACTTCTCTTAGGAAGAAGTCAGAGTTCCCAGAACTTAGAGCCTTTTTTAAAGTTGACACCTAGGCATGTCCTTCTAAATTGCTCTGTTCTAAAAAGCCTCTGAAGCAACACTACCTCATCCTACACAGCAGCCTTCACAGAGATGTGTGAAACTTCAGCTTCACCCTGCAATGTTATTTAGGCCTAGATGAAGAACACTGGTTAGTCAGCTAACCCACAGCTTAATGTTTCAAATGAGAGTGTTTAACAAAGAGTAGGGGTTCAGTTTAATGATAAGAAAAGTCAGCTTATTACCAGCTTCAGGACCTCAGTTTTAGTCCCCTGACATGAATTAAGAGCTCTGCCCTGACACAAGTCTTACTTCTCAGTTTGTTCACCATGCTAGGAAGTTTGCCAATTTCCTTTAATTTTGCTTTGCAGTTTTCCTTTTAAAGACCAAGAGTATTTATTGACCAAAGCTGCCATATAGAGTGGAGGGACTGAACTGAATCACCTCTCTCTCTCTCTCTCTCCTTGCGCTGGGTTATTGCCCCTGCAAAGAGGGGTTAACCCAATAAACTATAGCACATCTGAACTTTTCACTTACCCTGGGTAAAAGAAACATGCCAAAGAAAAAGAGCCTGAAGGCAAGAACTATGATTTTTGAGGATGCATCTAATAGCATTTAATATGCTCATCGTGGAGTTCCATGCTCACCACTTCTGAAGTCTGCAGCTATCATCAACAGGTTAATATTAAAATCAATGCACCCATCTTCCTCCCCCTGACAGTCAGCATTAACTACTTCTTACACTTTGTCTTGACAATGCAGAAAAAAAGCAGGCTTGGAAAACCAGGGGCAACAGAAGAAGGCAACATCTGCAGCTTCATACAACCATAACCAGGGCTATGTAGATTTCTCTGCCTGGTCATCTGATGCAACTGTTGCTGTAAAATCTTAAGCATGTGGCAGGTCAGCAAATATCAACTATCTGATAACTCACCTATTTATCCTTTGCATTTTGGATAAAGCTTCAGAGAAGTCTGTCCAAATCCACCCATGTTACACAGACAGATGCTTTATTCTCCATCCCTTAATACTTTTTAAAATGTCTTTTTCTCCTCCCAAGCTGGTACAGCTCCAAACAATGACAGCATTTACCGAGGCAACTTTTAACGATTTCAGCTGAATTTAAAGAGTTTTTGGAGTAGATACAAATCATGCATTAATAGATACGGGTACGGCTTAAGAGCTGAAACCTTCTAACAGAAGTTCTATGTGCATGTTCAGGAATTACACCACAGAGTTACCTAAAATAACCAGATACAATGACAAAAAAAGTAATTTCTGCTTACACAATATTCTTCCACCTCAACAGAGGTGGAGAAGGTACAGACGGCTCATCTTCAATTATCAGTGGTGACACTGGTGATAACTGTTACAATGAACTGGAGGACATATTGTAATGAGCAGGGGTTTTAAAGAACAAAGAAAGGAGAGAAGTGAAGGCAAACAGAAGTCTGTCATGGGTGCTGTGAACACTAGGAGGTTCTGCTACAACAAGTGCAAGGTGATTAAGCAGCTTTTCATCCTGCAAACACTCGTCTTGCAGGGAGGTCAGAAGCCAGATGCAAAGGCTGCAGATGACGTAAATCTCCTCAGCCACCATTATCCAGTTTACTGGCACCAAGACTAGGCAGCTCCCATTCAGAAGAAGATTTAAATGTCCTAGACCCTCCTAGTTTTTAGTGGTAACTGCCTAGAATCAAGGATCCAAACAGCTTCTTGAACTCCTTCTGGTATGAATTCATGTCTTAACCAGACTTTTTCCACCAGGCCAATCAGGAAAGTAGTTTTAGTCAGCATGATATGCCACCACAAATATGAGAAAATAACGGTGTTCTTAACAGATTATGGTTCTCCCCTAGTTACCTGGGTCTAGCCTGCTGAGCAATCGATAATTTGTAAAGTCTTTCTAAACCACTTATGTTAAGATCTTCCCTTTTAAATACCATTCTCAAAAGATCTCCTAATCTCAATAAATCACAGAAGATGGCAGTTCAGCTATGGACTTACATACAGTTGATCACATACAAGAGTTGGCTGCTGACCCACTAACTTTAAAAGCTGCAGCTACAGGGTAGGCACACAAACTGAAGAGGCTTTACATACTATTTTTGTCAGTAGAGGAATGAACA